TGCACACGAGATGTTGGAGTTAGGAGGCCAAAGCAGGGACACTCACAGGTGGGGATGGGGAGCTGCTTTCCACAAAGCCACAAAGCCACACAAAAAAAAGTTAACAGTGTGGTTTTTATATGACAAAAATTTGCATGCATAATGTAGCATTTGGCTTAAAACAGCCGGCTCACATTTTCACTGCCATCATGTTCCCATCTCCATCAGAAACTTAGTGTCTTCTGGTTGGATTCCATTCCTCACAGAGTAAGAACCCTGGGAGAGGAGTTGTCTTTGCCAGTTTTCTAAGTTGCTTGGTCATTGACCACTGTGGGGTTTTTGTAAGTGCTGTAGTTTCTCACACAATTTTTAAAAAATAAACAAAAAAAAATCCCATTACGTTAATAGTTTAGTAAACAACTAAAATGGGAATGCTTGTTTTCCTCTTGCATTCTTTCCTCTCTCTGCTGCTATAAATATATTCCCCTCTTCCCAGCACCAGGCATGGAGAGAAGGACCACAAGTGACAATCAGATCATCTAAAGATATTTTATTTCACACCACATTCTGTTTCTTTCTTTATAGTTATTACAGTTACAACATGGTTGGTGTTGTTATATTTTGCTATGAGATTTTGCTATGACCTGTATCAGCTGATCCTGTTGCAGTTGAACTCTACCATTCCTTAAATTAGCAGTTCTCCAAAAGAGAAAAGTCCTGAAATCCCTGAATATCCCCAGTAGCAGTTTTGTGGCACCACATGGATCCTGTACCCAAGCAGAAGTAATTATCCCCCATAACTAATATTGATGGAGAGACACTCACCACAGTTGCACGTTGCTTGTAATAATACAAAGGTTTATGCTTTACTTTACTCGTGGGTTATGTTCAGAAAAGTGTTTAAAACAGTTCAGAAATAGTTAAGCACTGTGGCTTCTGCAAGTCCATCAATTCAATGACTTGAATATAACTTACATTTAGTGTCTTTTTAGCTCCTCTGGGAGTTACTGGAACAGAATCATTTAAATTATGTGTGATGGATTAATTTCATAAATCATGTCTACAACTTTTGAAATTATTTTTTATAAGACACTTTTTTTTTGTATCTCATGTTGCAGCTCTAATAAGAGGTTTCACTGTGTACCTGGTGCTAAAATTAACTTATTAAAAGAGAATGTGATTATGTAGCTTTGAGGACTGAGTGTAAATCGTGCACTGTGCTACTGTGCATGCCAGTGTGTATATACAGGTTAAGTTCAAGATCTCTTATATTTTCTTACCACATTCAAGTCCATGTAGTCTGACAACACTCTAAAAGTTATTCCTGTGTTTTGTCTTTGGTGCAATTTAAATAGTCTTTTTTGGATTGTGTTTGGAATCAGCTTGTTTATTTGAAAGTTATAAAAACAGCAGCAATGTAAACACAAAGTGAAATGATGACAACACAGAGGACAATCTGAGCATATATGATGAGCCACGGGGTGAAATAATTGCTAGAAGTGTTAATTAAGATGAGAACAGGCAGTGTTAATGAAAAATAAAGGCTGATCAGTACCTTAGTTGTCACAGTCAGGCTGATTTAAGCACTTTCAGAGCCATTGAGCTGAAAACATTTTTAGAGCATAATACAATGGAGGGGTCATTGTATCAGACTGAACATTTTGCAGAACAGCACTATTAGGAGATCTGTGATAACCAGGTGGCAGACTGGATTAATGGGGTAGACTCACACCCAAAGCTCTCCTAGGCCAGGAACAAAACTGCCTGTGGGTTGTGGGTGCACAGGACAATGTCTGACACACTCTCAGGAACAACCTTTTGTAACTCAAAGTCAGAAAAAAAATCCAGGAATGCAACAGGAGAGAGTTTCTCAAGTCGTATCTAGAATGCTGAGAGAGGATTTAGTTTTAATTAGATTAGTGTTTTCCTTTCTCAAGTGGCATTTCTCTTCCTGTTTATATTTTCCAGTGGATTCTGTTTTGCTGTCTGTAAGGTGAATTTGCTGAGAATGTGTCTGTGTTCCAAAAGTTTATTTTACTGTCTGCCAGCACTGCCAAAGGGAACATGCACCCACTCTTGTGCTGGCTTTAGAGATTACCTTGAGTAACAGCACATGGAATTAAGATGCTGCTTTTATTAACAGTTAATATGTAAGACTTTTCAACACTGGGCATTTTAGTGTCATGACGATAAAATAATGGATTTTTTTTTTTTTTTGATGTACAGACTTCTCTTTTACCAACATTTAGACTCTCCCTACATTTGAGAACTGTGGTTTTTCACTTGACCCAAATTATCATCAGTTCTAGAAGCTGGGACATGCAGATCCCTGCAAAAATCCCAGCTGGGAACAGCTCCTGGTGTTCCAAACCTGAGTGATGCAGATGCTGACAAGAATACTTAACAAAGTCATTTTAGGAATATTTTTCTCTCCCATTTATATGCATTTCTATAGCAACAAAAATTATTACTAGGAAGGTGTTTAGCATATTTTTGTAATTTTTAGTGTGATTTATATGCTGTATCATTAAAGATTCAATATCGTCTGAAGGGTCAGCTTGCAAAAAAGGTAAACTTTATTTATCAACAATAATTCATAAATTACTTGTGTATGTAGATTGATACAGAAGACATCTGGCCAAATACTGTATTTGCTGAAAAATTAAAATTTGGAATTATTAGAACTATTTGCCAATTAAGACAAATTTGGTTTAGATCACCTTTTTTTTAGCAAAGTAAAATTTGCTGCATTCTTCTTTCAATATATTTCTTCAGGCTAGAAGGGTTTTGCTTAGGAGTTTTTTGTAATTTAATTTTTAGGGATTTTGAAAAATGCTGAAATAAAAATGAGAATTTTCATTGTGCACGAGTTCCTGCTCTTGACTGAAAAATAATAGCCTTTCATTTCACTAGGAAAAAACTTAGCATTATCTAAAATAATGAATTTCAGGCTTAGGAGGTTTCTGTGGTGATCTCCAGCTAAACATGGAACTGAAATAGTTTTTCTACAACTCTGACTACCTGATTCATACAATAGCTAAAATAATTAATACAGTAACTGAAATATTGTGGTCTTACACACAAATAGCAGGATAAAATTTTACTCTTGTCTCACTTTTGTTTCAGAGTGTAATGATTTTGAGCTTCGATTTCCCCCAGTATTTTATGTTGTCTTCCCAAGTGATTTTAACAATGGCAGATATTTACTATCTATAAGTAACCAGTGAAAAATCACCTGCTTCATTACACTTCTGGGCCCTTAAATATCTTCTTTCATCTATGTAATTCCCTCTCCTCACTGCCTCAGCAGTGTGACTCAATCAGCCATGTGTTATCTTTCCCAGATCCTTTTCTGGGCAGAGCTGGAGTGCACAGGAATGCAGTTTGACAAACACATTGTGTCTGAAATCCTTTGTTGGGAGAAGTGGAGAGAAAGAGATTATAAAATGCCTCAAAACCTTCACTAAGGCCATTCCCAGGTTTCTTGTATCTGTTCAGCCAAACAAAACGTTCATACCTCACTTTGATGTGTAGGATGGTATTATGGCTTATAGGATGTATTGTATCTCACAATAGCATCTGTTGTCCAGGCTGCAAAGTTTACAAAGAATAACTTATTTTGTGTTTTGGCAAGTTTTAAGACTCATCAACGACAACACACAGGGGAATTCAAAAGTAATAAATATATCTGCTGTCTATAATGTGGGTTGTTACAGGTGATGAGGTTTAAGATCCTGATATCTTCTGTAGGACTGGTTATGTGTGTGTTTCATTCCTCTGCTGATATAAACCTTTCAGAGGTAAAACTGAGGAGAGAAAAAAACTTCTTGAAGCTGTTAACTTCTGACAACCTGAGGGAATCTCTGGCTCTCTGTAGCATCTCCTCCTCAAAAATTTGTACCAAAAAAACCCCATTTGCTTACAGTAGATTTAAGCTGAACATTTTACACTGGAGTTATTTTGAAAAATTACCCTAGAATAGATAGGAGTAGGTTTTGCAAAGTGTCAAGTGCCTTCTTGAGTCCACACTGATGTTGCTCACACCAGTGTTTTGGGGAATAAATGCTGTTTTCGGGCAGCAAGCTGAGTTACACTGTGAATTCTCTGTCGGTGTACTCTGAGAGAATTTGTCTCTCCTTTCCAGGTCAGATATCCAAGGGGAAGTCTGGGAAGGCTTTGTAATGCAAATGTGGCTAGCCTAGGAATGTTAGATGCTGACCCATAAGAGCTGAGTTCAAGATTTCTGTGAATATGTGGGGTTTGAATTAACACAGCAGTGAAAGGCTCTAAGAGCATAAGGTGCATTCAGTATCTAAATCGCTTACATGGTTTAGAAAGCTAAAACTGGCACTGTGATGGTTCAAAGAAAGCTGATTTACACTGTTCCCTGGCACAGACATTACCAGGAATCCACCCACGGCACTTGGATATTTGTGTGATTTGTTTCATGGAGTCAAAGGGAAAAGTGGTGGTAGGTTTGTTGGAGGTGACAGATAATTGAGGTGCATAACAAACAGCAGAAAAGAAACAGATCCACTTAGTTATAGTATTTGATGGATTTTGTGTGTTAGAAAATATAAAACACATTAACAGGCAAATAAAAGTGCACCAGACAGTAACAGCCATTAAATTTACACAAGGAAAAAAATGACAGTGAGTTCAGTTGTTGAACTCTCATAATCACCAGTGGGACATTGCTGGAGTATCCTTTAAATCCATGACATTTTCATGGAAGATTAAAATATAGATACAGAATAGGTAAGTCACAAGTTCTGAGTTTCCACATGCAACAGAGACACCCTATAGTCCACAGCAGTATTTGCCCAGGAGGAAGTTTGACTTGTATTACACTGTTTTGTTGATTATAAATCTCTTTTCAACTCTGTCCTCTTGTCTCGTGGAACGAGCAAAATGAAAGTTAAAGTTGCTGGAGGACTGGGGATGTATAATCATTTTATAATTTTACTTCAATACTAATAATTTCCATTTTTCTCTCTCTTTTTTTTTTTTTTTATTCCCAGAGGGTATGAACTGTATGAACAAAGATCATGGGTGTGCACACATCTGCCGGGAGACGCCCAAAGGTGGGGTTGCCTGTGAATGTAGGCCTGGCTTTGAGCTTGCCAAAAACCAGAAGGACTGCAAATGTAGGTAGATGAAGATTAAATTTCAAATGCCCCAAAATGTCTTGTTTTCTTCGTTGTTGTTGTGTTCCAGAAGGAGTTAACTTTGTTTTGGCCAGAGATGATTTGCAATGTTAGCGATGTGGGATTTTTACTGTGGAAGGGGTATTTGGGGATGGATAAGAGGGATGGAACGATGGAATGTTGAAATCTTGACAGTGGCTCTCTTGACAAAACAGTAACAATTTTTCTACCTCCTTATGAAAGCAGAAAAGTGAAGGATCAGTTTAATGGAGACTTTCCTTGTAAAACAACACAAATAAAGCATAGTGGGTTCTGGCTTGCAATATTTGGGAAGACCATAGTGACAGATGCATTGATAAATCTGCTAATGGATTTAATGATAAAGCCACCAGACTATCAAATTAAGAGTGTGAATTCCTCTTTTTGGAAGGATGGAAATGATTGCTCTAGTCCTGATTCCACTGCACACAGTCTAGCTTTCCTTTTATTACTTGGAAAACATGCAGCTGCATCATATGTACTGTTCTTCAAAGAAAAGCCCCCAGTGACATATTCTTGAAGCTGGGATGCTGAAGATACAGATCTTCATTAGCACACAAAATTAGAAATCTCCCTGTTCAGGTTGAAATGGTTGACCTCAGCATCATTACCTGAAAACTTCAGGATGGAGTCTTTCTGGTGGCTTCAGTGAGTGTTAGATCTGACTCCAGTAGCTTCTTGGTAGCTTTGTGAGAGACCAAAAAAGAAGGAAGTTTAATGAAACAACATGAAAAATGTTTGGTGCTTTGCACAGGGCCAGTATTTTTGAGGCAGTCTTTCTTACACTTCTGGTTTTGTCTTCCTGAGATCTCCACTGTATAAGCATGGTGAGATGGTATCAGTTCCCAAGTACAAAGTCAAAAGAATCACCTTTGATTATCACCAAGGAATGCCACAGGATATCACACAGCCTGGTTTCTGCAGGGTATTAAGAGGTTACACAGGGCCAAAGGCAAAAGCACAGAGAAAAATTGCATTTATGGTAATTTCCATTCCCAGTGTTTATCAGAAGTGAACATTGCGTGCTGGTAATTGCAGTGCAGCATCAGCTACATTGGTGAAGTGGGAGAGGATGTTTATTTATGCTGTTTGTTATTTGTTTCCTCAAACTGTGTATTCTTTAGGAATTTCAGTATCCCTTTTCATACTGAGATGGTGGCAGGAGTATGAAAGCCTTTTCCAGAACATTATTTCTAAATGCCTCAAGGTTTAATAGAGTGAAAAACCTCGATTTATTCTGTGCCCCTGTGGTGTTCACATTGTAGCTGGAAGTATAATGAACTTCTGCTGACAGACCTCTGAGTGAGTTTTTCAAGGCTGCAGACCTTACTTTGGAGTGCACCAGCCCCTAAACCCACAACACATTCTGCAGGCATGTTGCAGAGTTTCATTTAAAACAACTACTTCTGGCCTTCACAAACACAAAATGGCCACATAGCCTGGGACAATAACTGTGAGATTACAGCAGGCTCTTTATAAAGGTCTAGTTCTGAAACCAAATACTGACTTTTAAAAAAACTTTTTCACAGCTGACCATTTGAGCAGGATTGGCTTAAACCCTGAGCTGGAGTTTTGCAAGTGACAAGATTGTCATTAAATTCTAATTACATAATCAGCATCTGATCATTTATCACCTCATGCTGATAAGGAAGGCACTCTTGGTGTCTTGCTTCATTCACTGTACATGATGGTCAGTGCTCATTGAACAGGCTTGTGTTCAACATCCTCCTCTCCATAATTTAGTGTCATGCCTCTCCTGCTGCACAGCATTTAAACCTTATTGTGAACCTGAAATTTTTAATTTCCTTGTGGGTTTTCCCATGATACTCATTACTGTAATATCAAAGTACTTTGTAGGCGTTGGCAGTGTGTTTTCAGAACATTCTTGTCAAGTTACAAAGTGCTGCTTTGCCTGTCTTACAGATGGGAAATGAATATAAAGCTGGTGATGTCAGAGCCATTTAGGAGTGATAGGAGATGAACAAGAAACACACAGAACCCAGCTCAGCATTTACAGCACTTTGGTGTGATCCCAGCCGAGCTCCTGGTGGCTCCAGCTGTAGCTGCAAATGCCATGGAGGAAGGAATATAGTATCAGTAACCTGTACTAGAAGGGATCCAGGTGACCTGCCAAGCCCTAAGTAGGAATTCCACGGCGAAGGCAGAAGTAGATCAGAGTTTTTAGGGCTCTGTCTGAACAAGACCACTCTTTCTTGACAGTCCATCTCTGATTTGCTCCTCACTCTGCAGCAAATGGGAAAAGATGCCCAGCTGTTTCCCCAGCCCTGACCTTCCCCAGCTTCCCTGTGCGCTAAATGGCACAGGAGTGTTTTCTGCATTTGTCAGTAAGGAGAGGGATCATGATAAAAGAGATCTGTGGACAAGAAGTCTGGGATTTTGCAGCTTCTGAGTGCTTAAGATTGCAGCCTTAGTGGTTTCTTGGTGTAAATTTGAAGGATGCCATTTCTCAGTTGCCCAGCATGCTGAGAAAACAGTGGGACTGAAAGGGACCTCAAGAGGTCATCCAGAAAAACACCAAGATCCATACATAATTCCTCAGATGAGCTGCATCCTTTAGATCCAAAACTTCAGTAATCTTCAGCTTCTGGTAGTTCACTGATATTTCTGTAAAAACTGCTTTAATGGCTTTATTAGAAGAATATTATGTTTTGTCAGTGATTCTCATAGATACTTGCTGGCAGCAGAAAGAAGAGACTTCAGAGTAGTGAATTTGGTTCCAGATTATATTGAGAAAATATGAGAATTTACCTCCTCTTTCTACATCTGTGTCCGTGAGAGATTTTAGGATCCTGCTCCTGAGCATGATTGCATTAGAAATTTTTGATAAACTGAAGATTTTTTTCCCCCAAATATGAGCAAACCAGGACATTTTGTGTTCATCTCTTTATTAGCTGGAAGTTGAAAAAGTAAGAGGAAACCTACAGCAGATACACATGCCTGCAAGTTGCAACCTAAAAGAGTTATAAACAAGTAAAAGACCTTCAGAATGTTAAAAATCTAAAGCTATACTAGAATAAATAATGTAAGCAATGTTGCATGCACAGCTCAATCACATAAAAAAGAGAAGCCCATATATTAAGGTAAATTATGTATTTAATGGCCAATTTAGTTAAAAAGCAGTGCAGTTTTTAATTTATCTGGAATTACAATGTTTGAATTGTTGCAGAGATCCATTCTACAAAACCATAAGACCTGGCTTGTGACAAATTCTGTGGCATCTGAGCCATAGGGATATCTCTCAGGACAAGATCAGGACATTGTTGTCCCGGGGGATATTTTGAGTTACTGGGTACTAAATGCTGGATTTAATAATTGGCCATGTGTTTTCAAATACTCCTTGTCATGGGCATGTGAGATGGAAGAAACAAAAAAAAAAGAATTCTCTGAAACCTCAGAGAAGCACTGGAAACAGGATTTAGGGTGTAGAGTGAGAATTCTGGTATTTTCTGTATTCTGGGGAGTTTAACCATCAATATCATTATCTAGTGGAATATGTACATTAATCCAGACAGTTGTTTCTTGTCTTTCATCATCAAAATGTCATTTCTAGACTAGTCCATATATATTTCTATGGATGTAGGCTCTGGTGTCTAAAGCAATGGTGCTACTCTGGTTTTAAATCTGCTATGTGGGAATAAATATGTCTGAGTTCTAACAGATAGGTGTATATTCTCCTTTGGTTAAAAAAAAAAACCTTTTTTCCATCTCTTTTATTGTGACATGATTTATAATATTTTAAGGTGATGTGTGTCTGTCAGAATTTACCATTTTGCCTCTTTTTGTTTGCCTCTTGGATTTCATAGACTCTGAATGAGCACACAGTCCTTTGCATGGCTGCAGAGTCCAGATTAATCAGAAATAATTTTTAAAAAGAACACTTTGGGAATTCTCAGTAACACTGCTTTAATTCTTTCTGACAAAAATGGAGTAGATCTGGATGTCCATTTGCTTTTAAATAATTACGATTTTCTTCCTCTAAGCAAGAGAAACTTCTCACCGTGTCACTGCCACGGAATTAGGGCTGGAAGAAAATCGAAATGACATATTTTACAACTGGATTTTGTACCAATTTCACCTGCAGGGCTGTCAAGCTCCAAAATTTTGGCTCAAGTTGCTTAAAATAAATAAATAAATAAATTGTAGTCTAGACAGAAATTCAAATCCTTCAAAAACGTGATTTACTAATGTTTGTAGGAGACAGGAAAAGGAACTGACCTACATCTGTGTTCCCTGACTGGGTAGAACAGGACCCAGTAACTTTAATATACAGGGAAACTATAAAAGAAGTGTGTGATTCTGCAGGGTTTACTATAAATGCCATCAGTCTGGATTTTTTTTTCACAGACAAATATAGTAAGGAAAAGTTCCTCATATTTACATCAGATATTTTCATCCCTGCCAGCAGAGGCTTTCAGCAGGGAATGCCAAAAATAACCACTGCAGTCAAGTTTTTTAAAATATGGGCTTTGTTGCTGATTGCACTTTAAAAATCTCAGTAAAAATACTGAAATGTATTCAAACTTCTGGCATAAACAAGACCTTTAAGTTAATTTGTGATGGCATAGAAACATGGAATGAAACTCCATGTAGTCCTAGAGGCACATGGGGTCAGGCAGGAGGGGAGGAAAGGTAGAGGAAAATCACTTTACCTTGGATTAGCACAAATCAAAGATGGGAAGGTTTAAGAACAGAGAATTGACATAAAATTTTGTTTGGTTTGCATCAAAAATAGAAGCTAAAATGCTGCTGTGTATTGAAGGGAAAGAAATGTTGCAGAATTATTTGTTTCAGGTGGTTTGTTTGGGTTTTTTCCACAAAAATAAATGATTAATTAACCTGTAAAAGTGGAAGAGGAGAAAGAATGCCTGAGGGTGGCTGTTGCTTAGGGGGATTTTTTAATGTAATTCCTTGGAAGTTTAGGATTCTTACAACTTGGGGTATGTGAGTTCAGTTCCCTCCTCTGTCTGATGGGACTGAACCCACAATTCCCATTTCCCAGTCTAGTGCACAAACTGTCAAGCTCCAGTAAGGGAACATGGATCAGGCTGCTCTCCACCTTCTGCACTGGCATTCCTTGCAATTGGATAGATATTCCTGGAAAGTGGGGTGGGAATCCAGGCAGGCTCTCTCAGAGATTGTTCTTAGCCCTGGGCACCGAGGCTGTTCCCTCTCTGTCCCTGAGCAGCACAAGGATTTTATTCCAAGTGTTCAGTGGGAAGGACCAGGGATGCACCCGTAGTGGCCTCAGGTCTGTGCTCACCTGAGAGATGGACAATTCCTGTTGTAATCTTTGCCAGACTTCAAGGACTGAAGTTGTAAGCTCGTAGTTCCCACACCGGCAGGAGGCTTTAACGGGAATTCTGTTGGGTGTGCTGTGGTGGGTCTCCCTCAGTTGCTTTTCTTAGACCTGTTCCATTTTAAGCCCAGTATTTCAGTGGTTACTGAGAGGGACACGACAGCTCAGCACTGAGGTGCTCACACTAGAGGGGGGAAATCTCATTTCTAGGCACTGTGACTGAAAATTCCGGTCTACTCCATTTTCAGAAGGTGGGATTAAAGCAGGGTCACTGAGTTCAGTGGGAAAACAGATGAGCTCAGCCCTCTTGCATTAGATAGAACCTCAGTTTAGAGACAGATACATGATTTTCAAACCCTGCTAACCATTATCTTGGTTTTAGTGTATCTTGCAATTTGCTTCTCTAAATTTTCTTAAGCTAGAAGGAAAATTCTGCTAAGACCAATGTGAGGAAGTTCCTTCTGAAAGCAGGAATCAGCATTTAAATTACTGTAACATTTCAAAACGAGGAGATGAAGGGGGAGCAAACGAGAGATGCTGTCTATAGACTTGAAAATATACATGTGTATTGGACATGAATTTTAGGAAGAGGTGGAACTGGGTACCCACCCCTACTAAAATTATTAATACAGATAGACTGGGGAAAATATAGCACATGCTGTGATTTTTCTCTCTCCACTGCAAGGATTGAGGTTAGGACAGGAGACAGACATAAGGGAGGGGGGCAAAAAGCAGAAGAAGCACAGAATAACTGCAAACACAGAATGTTATGTTGCCTCGTGTCTTGGTATGTTACTGCTCTTCCGTGTTCCACAAGGCCCTCCAGACTAATTGGTTTCATTGTCGTTTTATTTATATATACATATATACACATTCATTTGGGGCTTAACTAGTAACCTGTAACTATGGGAATGGAGGCTGCCAGCACACCTGTGATGACACAGATACTGGGCCTGTGTGTGGTTGTCACCAGAAGTACGCCCTGCACTCCGACGGCCGAACCTGCATCGGTAAGTCCTGCTCTGCAGCGCCTTTTATTTCGTGCTCCTCACAGAATACTCGTGTCTACACCTGTGTGTGTGTGTGTATGTGAGTGGGTGTGTTTGTACCTCACAGGGGTTCAGCACCACTGCTGAGAGAAGTTCCTGCTGTGGCTGAGGTCACACAGTGCTGAGAGAGAAGCATTTTGTGCATGTTCTGTCAAAACGTGTGTTAATGAAGTATCCCCTTTGTTACTCACGTGCAACTTTTGTTTCTCTTCATAACTCTATTAGTTGTGCAAGTTAAAAGGTGTAGAACGTAATTTTTGAAGTAAAAAGGTGTAGAACATAATGTTTTAAGTAAAAAGGTGTAGAATATATATCCAATGAAAGTTCAGTGCTTCCCTTCACTTCCATGAGTCAAGACTTCCTTGCACAAAGCAAGGTTAGGAAAACGATCTTCTTTTCTAAGCTGTTATCAGGGAAAATTAGTCATCAGGATGTGCCTTCTTCCCTGTTGTATGATTTATGATTGTAAAAATTACAATACCTGTAGCGAGTAAGTTTTCATTCAGAATATCATTAGGAAAAAAGCTGTTCAAGAGACGGAGCATCTGGGGAGATGCCGTGCAAACATTTATGGTTAGAAAATGTATTATTTGCTTAATGTCATTTCTTTCCACTCTGCTTTAAAAGAAAAGAAAAAAGGATATTTTTGCGTAGTGCAAGTTAACATTTGAAAATTCTTGGTGACGGATCAGAGTCTAAAATCCATAATGGTTTTCCCACTGGTGAGGGCTTTGAGAGCAGGTTTTATTGAATGGATAATTGATCTTCTGTTTATTATCGTTCACTAATACCCTTGGATTGATGTTTTATTTTGTCCAGCATGTAAAAAATGATTTGAAAAGCTGTGTACACTGCACCTGTTTTTTACTTTTTTTTTTCCCATTTTTGTAATGTAATACATACAACTCCATGTTACATTCCTTGGTCTTGTGATGTAAGTCACATATTACTGCCTGTGCTGATTTTCGTCCCTCTAAATAGTTCTTTCTCTTAGAATACTTTTAATTTTTTTATTTCTTTTTTTTTTACATTTTTATTCCTGCTTTCTGGTGATGGTTCCTGATTGCCTGTCTTGTCTGATAACTGACGTTTATTAATTATTTACAGAGAAAAAAAAAAGGCAAAACAAAACAAAAACTCAAACAAAAGCCTCTATTGCAGCCTGATCCCATCTAGAACTTGTTAAAAACAAAACAAAACAACTTCTTGTTACCACTCAACCATGTAGTGTTGCCACAAACAAAACCTGCCAGCCTCCTCCTCCTCCTCACCTCAGTGATTCCAGTGTTTGCTGTCTTCAGTGGTGTATATTTTCCAGGCATCACTGCAAGAATGCAAACTTCTGCAATGCCAGATAAATACTTGTTGACCCTTTGTCTAACATATTTTGTCTTCGTTTGCTTGACTTAACCTTTTATCTTTTTTTTTTTACGTTTGCTGCATGTGAAAGTCCCCACTTGCATTTTTCGTTTTAGTTTTCCTAATCAGCATTTCCCTCTTCCTAGAAATCATTTTATTTACCCAGCTGCTGCTTCTCCATCGCTCTCCTGTATCAGAAATCTTTAATTTTATTTCACCTACTGATCATCTCTTCCCACACTTGTGACTGTTTCTGTGTATTTCTAACGAAGCATAACCAAAGTCCTCATCATGCTGTATGAAACTCTTACATGCAGGATATCAGAGACCACCTTGTCAAATGATCTTTGATGCCATCTTCTTGCTCACTGCATGCTTCTAAAATTACTAAACCCTCTTCTTGCAACATCTTTCCTAGCATTGAATGTTTAGCTAGTAGTGTTTCATAGACAAGCAGGCAACCAGCACTGCCCAAATTGATCTTTTTTTGTGTTTGTTTGGTTTGTTGTTTGTTTATTTTTTGGTGTTGTTTTTTGTTTAATTTGCATGCTGGTGTTTGGTTTCTCCTTCTCTGATGTGTCAGTGTGTACAAGACTATGGTGCATCCATCACCGGACTCTTCTTGCTCTCTCTGTCTGTCTTAGTCTTAGTCTTAGTCTTAGTCTTCTGCCTGCCACCTTCAGATCTTGGTGCCACCATCAGCCTGAACCACAGTTTGGTAGTTTGTTTAACTAGCCTTCCTGAATTTTAATTTTCATCACTAACACCTCTCTGGGGCACTCATGGTTAGCTGTCCTCTTCTCCAGTAGGAATCCAGCTTCCTGTGTGTCGTTAATTACTTCACAGTCGACCATTCTCCCTTCTCACCCTCTTCCTTCCTCCTCTCCCTGAACACCCTGTAATTTTTTCCTGGGGTCTCAAAGGGAATTAACTCTCTAACGGGGATTTAGTGCTTTCATGCCTTGCTTCTTGGCTTTGGCTGTGCCATGCCAAGAAACTGTCTTAGGCAGCGGAAAATTGGGCTTGTGATTAACCAACTGCTCCATGTTTGTCCCTTACTTGTGTTTTAGAGAAGGATGAGGCTGCAATTGAGAGTTCTGAGTACAATGCCACGTCAGTAGCTGATGTGGACAAGCGGGTGAAACGGCGGCTACTTATGGGTAACACTTTTCTTCCACTTCCTTTGTTGTGCTCTCACTTTTGTCTGTATGCGTGTTGGGGGGAGGTTCTCTTTTGGTCTCATTTGGTTTTGGTCTCCTTTGGTTTTGGTTTGGCTTGTTGTTTTTTTGTTTTGTTTTTTTTAACCCGACTTCATCTGTGTGGAAAGGTCACCGATTTTGTTAAGTTCTCATCTGTTGTACAACTTCATTTCTTGTTTTTAAACTTCTTTTTTTTTTCCTAACGCTGCAGCTTTTAATGTTCAGTTTCCTCTGCATAGAAAGAAGCTTTTGCCATTAACCTTACTTACCTTTTGCAAGCTACTTTTTTACGTGTGGTTTGTGTGTTTGTGTGTATGTGTTGCTGTAGGATTCCTGAAAAACCTCCTGTTGCAGACCTGCCTGTTGACTTAAAAGTCAATGATGATGATGATGATGATATAAACCAATGTTCTATTACATATGTGGTGTTAAATGAACAACTGTATTTGCCTAATTAAAATTTCCTGTGCTTTTGATTGAAGTGTAAATATTATGACTGGAAATTCATTTATTTCCTTTGCGCAGCTGTTTCAGTAACCACTGAAAGATCTTTCCCTAGTGACTAGTGAGCTTCTAGTATGTTCTTCTTTCAAGACTGAAGCGTGGCTTGTTCTTCCTCTGTGTTGTTGGAGCCCGAGAGTGGAAGGGAATACGAAGTGCACTGAACAATGAGGATAATTCTTTAGCTTCTGCTCCCGGTTAACCCATTGCACACCCTCGTGCTTGTCTTCTTCGTGTTCCATTTATGGCTCTTAGTGAGAACAGCTTTTTGGGAACAGAGAGGGGAGAGTGGCTGGACCTCTGCCAGACCCTTTCCATGTGACACAGAGCACAGAGCCAGCAGTTTGGGGTTTTTCAGGTGGTTTATTTCTCTGTCTTTTCCAGTCTGATGCCCTGCTCACCACATACAGTTATTTCCACTAGGTTTTAAACATAGTGAGCATTGGCGAGATGGACCCATTTACAAGACAGGCATTCCCCACCCACAGGAGAGCTTCTGGCAGGACAAGATTCTGCCCTGTTCCCTCTGGGTTACTATTTCATTTCTTAAAACCACTGAGTCCTTTGGAGAGGGTCCTGCTGGCCTCTGACAAGCTCAGCTCTGGCTGTGAGTGCCCACACCTACCTGGAGTGACCACCCCCAGGAGAGCAGAATATTCACTTTGAATATTTAATTGGTTACTGGGATAATAGATGCAGTAGGTTACAGTATTTATGAAATTTCCATGTCACTTGTATCTTGCCACCCATGACAAACCATCCCCTCACCAGCAGGACAGCCCCTGTGTTGGAAATGGCACAGTGTTATAACTCTGTGATGGTAACAGATGACAATATTGAGGGCGAATATTTTCCCTCATGTGAAAACCTGGGGGGCATATATCCCTTTATTTTTAGCTTATCCATGCTGGTTAATTTGCAGTTAGCTTGCAGACCTAGCAAGTGAGCCACATCAATTTATTGTTTCATGATACACTATTTCAAGTCATTCGAGCTAACAGGAGCTGTGAGGCAGCTCATCTTGCTTTGGAAATGTGCTGTTAGCACTTTTAGTTATAATTTCAGGAAGACCCACAGTCTCACAAGAAGTCAGGGGGGAAAAAAATGTGCCCAAAGGCCTCTGGACTGCTGAAAATGCAGCCCTATAGTTGTAACTGGTGAGTTTGCCCAATCAGAAATGGTATGTACAGTACAGTGTAGAGGTACTGAGCAACATAATGCACTGTGTTGATGATGCCTCACCCTCTCATAAAAGTAATTATCCAACCTGAAAATAAGCTCACACTGCTTACAAGAGTCCAGGAAAATGGCATTAAAAAGTTTAGCATTAAAAAAAGATTAGCAACAGCCTTCTTAATATTACACCAGTTCTGCAAGTTCCAAGCTTAACACAGACTATGGAAATAGGTTTAGGGAGATAGTTTAAAATCCAGTTTGCAAAACACATTGTTTAGCTCTTCATTAGCAGGTATCACCCAAGAGCTGAGAGTGATTCCTTAGTAAAACATTAACTAGAGCAGAAAAGAAATTCAATTAGTGAGTGAAATCTGAGTGGAGGGCTTATTACTTAGGGACTTCTCTACTTATTTATTTCTTCTGATTTCTAATGCTTAGAATTGATTTTTTTTTTAATGGATCTTACTCATTTCAGAAGTGTAGTGGCATTTCCATGAAATTCCAGGTGTCTTCAGATGTTTTCTAAACAGCTGGTTTAGCAAGTACTGGAAGGCTCCTCAGGAAACTTTTTTTTCCCCAGCTTTTCTAAATGGACTGTGATTTTTGGCCCTCCTGCAGGCAGTCTTGGGAGAGCAGGAAAAGTAGATGACTTTATGTAATTTTAGTAGTCTAATGAAAGATGCTTTCAGTTGCAAGTCCTGAGCTGGTAATTTCTAGTCCCCTGTCATGTGCTGCACACTATTAAAATGACTATGATCTGTATAACCCTTAATATCAGCCAAGATATTATTAATAATAGTAAGATTATTAAATATTCTTATTTATTACGAATAATTGTTAAGAACAAACTCGCACAAGATGATTTTAGGAGAACATTTTGCTGTCATTTTGCTACACCAAGACTGGCCACCTCCATGTCTTGGGCTGATTGTTACAGGGGCTGTGTCCCAGTCATGGTGTGGTTCGGTGACTTGGGGCTAAATTTAAACAGAGCAAAGTAATAAATACACTTTCTTCCTCCCTGCTAGATGCATTTTTGTCTAGGTCTTGTGAGGCAGACAAGAAACTGGTCTTCTCTCATGACCTACGAGAAACTTTCCTTTGGAACCATCCAGCGATTCCCAGGAATTTCCATCCAGCTTTTTTCATAACGTTTGGAAAGAGTCTGTGGATTAGGAAAGACATTCACCCTGCAGAAGGTCACACACCCCCAGGCATTTAAAACCAGAGCTGTACCATTATCTGTAAGGTCCATTTACACCCCCCTTGTTGCAGAACACCTTGCACTTGCTATAAACCAGTAGGGCACGACCAATGTCTTCAGGTCTTCTTAAAAATCTGGTATATCTGTCTTGCATCTAGTTGAGCACTGCCTTCTGCTCTTAAAATTATGTTCAAATCTCTGTTTTGTGTGGTACAACACTTTTTTTTTTCTGAAAATATTCTCTTTGACCTTCTCTTTTTTCCCTTACCTTCTTTTTCCTTGGGAACCTCTTTGCCACAACTGTTTTTCCTGTCACAGCATCATAGCATGAGACTGCCCTACCTGGTTAAAGGAGCCTAAATCTAGCATGAGTTTGAAACACAGTGTATCCTGCCCTGCCTGCCTGTCTGAAAACCATTCTAGTGTGGGCACACAGCTTTAGAAGCACTAAATTTCTGCTCAGCCCTACTAATACACATATCCCCAAAATATCTAGTCCTGTGTCACACCTTCAGCAATGGAGGTTGCTTTTATTCATGTTCCCATATCTCTTTTTGCTGTTGCAGCCCTGGATAGAACTCCTAAGTCAAACAGCCCCACAGTGTACAACTGTAAAGATGAGTCATCCTGCAGTCCAGCTCCTTATCATTAAATAAATTGTAAATTTATCAAGTCTCGTGGGTTTAACATCCTTCTTGGCCACTGTCTTTCTCTCAGAAAGGCTTCAGGGGTTTTATAGAGCTATTGTCTGAAGCTTTCTTGTACACAGAACATGATGTTACTGGACACAAAAGTAGAGTTCGTAGCACCAGTTATGCCACTGGGCTGCCTCATTGCAATTAAATCAGCTGCTTACAAAGGTGTGACAGGCAGCTCAAAACTTCCTCTCTGAGGAAGCAGAGCTGTAAAACTGTCTGGTGTTAAGGAGATAATGCTTTGCTCTTTGGCTACTCTTTACATCAACTCTTAGAACCAAATAATTTTATGACCTATGTTTTTATATTGCCTTTAAAAATGCAGTGACTTGTTACAGTGCCATCACCACAGGCCTTGCCAGACTGCGTGAGGTGTTGTAGCAACACAACCACGATGTTCTGTCCATGGTCTTACCCTCTGATCAGCTCCTTTTGAAGACCCATGTCTCACTGTGTTTCATTTTCCTTCTTGTTCTCTTTAATAGTCAGATGATCAGGTTCATTTGGGCTTGACCTCAGGTGACTTCAAAACAACTGCCAGGGCTTTGTTCATCTTCCTCACCTTCAATTCACCTTTTCCATTCTTTCCAGAGATCACTGTTACAAGAACTCATGTTGGCAATAGAATGTTCTTGCTCTGGTTGTAAGGTCGGTTCCTTCTTGTCGCACGAAGAGAGTTTTACAAAGTTCTTTTGGGTGTAGCAAAGAGCAACAGGACACTGAGCCCATCTTGAAGTTAAGGGAGTACAGTAATTTCCCTGGCATGTTTAGGGGAAGCGTGATGGTGAAAATAACAGTCATGCCATTGCTTCCCATGTCTTCAGAAGGCCAAACTCTACCCAGAAATTCACTCCATGAAACATGTTCGGCTCATTTTGTGCCAGAGCAGCTTAAGATTTTTCCAGTGGACACTGACTTCTGGGGTCATCAATGAGGTTATTTGCAACCTGCATCAGAAACAGTGATGCAGTTCTCTTCCCTTGAAGCTGTCTCCCAAGATCCCTACAGATTATTTAATGTCACTTGATCAGCTCTTTCATCTGGTCTCGTGCCTCCTGGAGGTACCTGGAAACATCAGCCAAGGTAACTGTGTTCATCCTGTCCTGGCCAAAGCTGGTTTGATTTCAGATTTTTAGCCTAGTACCTACAAAGGATTTTAATGAGCTGCTCATATCATATTAAGAAAAAACCCGCAATTTGAGCTTGTCATTGTGCCCTGCAGCATTTGCAGCAAAGGTAAACATTTCAGCATCTGTTACATCAAGGAGGCAGAGAGCTTTACAACTTTAGAGCTTAGGTTTACCCATTTGAACCAAAAATGGCACTCAGCTTCATGTATCTTGAATCACCTGAGCTTAATAATCAGACATTATCAGATTATTACA